GGATTCGAATCCCAGCGAGGTCGGAAATTAATTTTTCCGAATTTAATTCCAAGGGCTTTCGCCCGGAATAACCTCGCTCCCAAGCACTACAACTTACCTATATTATCTTCTACTGCCCCCAGAGTGTTTATTTCACAGTACAGAGACATAAGCCGCCGTTTTATATTGCTTTTATAAAATATTCTAGAACGAATTTGCGTGAGCGTGTCTCTTTCCTCTGTTATAAAAACGGTAGCCAGCCAATCGGTGGGCGCATTATATCTCAAATATTTTATGAAGCACAATTCAAAGACGCGTTATCATGCGTTCTCATTTCATTGATTCATTTTTTTAATCTCTTAAGGTTCTGGATGACAAGACAGACTTCTCGAGAGCAAGTTCGATTGAAGCAGTTGAACTCTTTCTGTTTGAATGCATCAAAAGCTTCAAAAAGTAACGATCGTTTAATGGACAATTATACATTAAGATTATTCAGCGTCATTATTATCATAATCATCATTATTGTCATCACAACAAGCAACATGAACACCGTCATCATCGATCATCACCATAATCATCATTACTAACACCATCATCAACATCATCACAACTATCAAGTGAGTGAAAAGCGTACACTCGTTCTTTTGTAATGAATCCAATATTGTATATCCACTCTTGACAGGTCCTCAATTCAGGCAGTAAATGAGTTCCGTCATCACTGTAACTCGTTCTTTATGGAGCTCATATCTCTCCTGTGTTTTGGTAGCGAAGCTCAACGGAAGTCTTTGGACCCGGAAGTATTTGAGATATCCATGAGGTACATAACCGGAACCAGTTCATCGCAAGCCACAAAGAGTTTTTCTCCATTTCCTGATTTTGAGGTCGACAAAACTCCTATCGTGAGGTCATTTCTGCTACAGCAGCTGCTGACCATCAGGTACTGTGGTTACAAATCATACTTAGTTTTATTACCTCAAGGAATAACAGGCATTTATCATGCATTTGCTTTATCAATCCTCAGTTTAGTTGAAGTCAGAAAGTATCTTCAGCGGTATCTCTCTGATGCACAGGCGCTGTCGCCAGATCGACATCACGTGACACGAGTATGCCAGCTTGTTGTGGATTGTATTGAGGTTAGTAAATAGAAATGACGCTTTGATTGTTACCAGTAATAATAACCATGACTTGACAATGTATCATTTGACTGATGAGCATAGGGATGATGATGATGATGACGATGCACTGGTGATAATGAAGATGATTGTGATGGTGATGGTGGTGATGTTGATAAAGATGATGATAATGGTAATGGTAATGATGACAATGATGGTGGTGATGATGACGATGAGGAGGAGGAGGGAGATTGTGATGGTAGTGGTGATGTTGATGTTAATAAAGATGATGATGATGATAATGATAATTTAATGTTGATGATGACAACGATGATGGCGATTGATGGTGATGATGATTCTTTTCTTTTCTTGTCAGGACTCGACCTCGTCAACATTATCACAGGGGGAGCTTCCTACCTCGATCTTGATTGGGTTAGCAACATCAATGATCGCAAAAGGAAGTAACGCATTGCGCAAAGTAAAGCACTCAGACACCCTAGGTATCGAGGCCCTGGAGGCAATAGCAAGAGTGCGCCACGCCTTGGGTCTGACTGCCGAGCTACTGTTCAAGAGCCATGTGGCCAGTGACGAAAAGTTGCAAGAACCTGAAGTGAAATCTGAGTTTGATAAACTTTTGAATGTTGTTCAAGGGATGTGTGATCAAGCCCCTCTTGTGTACTTGATGAAACAATTGACAAGGCGATACGGAGCATCGGTTATTAAAGACTTGACGCAGGATCCAGAGATGTCTTGGTTGATTCCTCGTGAATTTGAAAAGAGAGAGGTTAGGGTCGGAATACTTGTTACTGTTTACTTTTTTTTTTTTTAACAAATAGCAGGTGATATTATCAGTGATATTAATTGACCTTATCCAATTGGAATGTAAAAGATTTATTATAGAGATAGCTATTTAATGAGTTTTGCGAATACCCGTGGACCCAATACTGATCCCTGGGGCATTCCAAGATAAAAAGTATTATTTATTATATTGATATATTTTCTCAAACCTTATGAGTTAACCATTCGATTATTTTTGTTTGTAGACCGATACTTCTTTGGATGCCGATCAGTTTGTAGTTCATAATAAGGAATACACTAGTGTTCGGGATGCTCTTGCAAGGGGATTATTGTCTGGGAGTGTAGACGAATTATCTACTTTAACACAGGTCAGTACTTTGCTTAATGGTTTTCCTTTGATCTGCGGTAATTCTGCATACATGTTTTGTGTATTATCTAGATCGATGGTTCAGATATGATGAGCTCTAACACAAAGATGAACGTCTTCTTTCTGCTGTCCATTTACAGAGAAATCACGTGTGCTTACCGCGAACCAAGACAACAACTCCAGGCAAGACTATTACTCATGTTAATTATATAGTCACTGCCTTACGTGCGCTCTGATTGGTCAAGAACTGTGCTATATTAATGAATGAGGGACGGTGCTGATGCCATTTGCCCGCGCAGCCTGTTATGCAAAGGACTGTAAAAAAATGTTTTTTTCAATATTACATCGCTCCGTGATGCAGCACTTAGGAAATGACGAAATCACTTAAAAGTGTTTCGTACTTTCGCTACTTCCTGCGTGTTGCATAAATAAGAGGAAAACAAAATAGCTGGGTTTTTTTTCTTCATTACCGATATCCTTCAAACACGAAGAAATTTGATTTTACGTTAAAATTATCAGTGTTTTACTTGACAGGAGTATGCAGAACTACGCAAATTTTTTGACGACCACCTGTCTCAAGAGGTACAGTTAATAGTTTTACGAATTTGAGTTTAAATAAATAGTGCTCTTATCTAAACGTTGTACATTGCAGGCTCGTCCACTGGCCGTTCAACTTCTAGACAACTCTCACGGTATGGGATTTACAGCTCTGTCTGTTCAACCAGCTCAGCCACGTGACACCATCAAACTAGCTGAACTCGTTGTTCATACTATGGTTGTGCTACAATGCTCAAACGACAGCGATGTTACGAGTACTCTGAGGTCATTGCTTATGAATCCAGACTACATGAAGGTAAGGAGGGACATGCCTTATTAAATACTACACGTCTGATACTCATCCCTCAAAGTGCAACCGCCTGCATGAAACCGCTTCTTTCGAGTAGTTCTTTACATTTTAGTACTTTCTTATTTTAGATAACAGAAAAATCGCTTTCTCATTGTTCAAGGCGCGTGCGATGTGAGAAAACACGCTATGCACTCACATTTTCTATTCCTTCATTCGTATGCAGCTCATGTTTTTACTAAGCCTTCTTGAGTGTTCTTTATAACTGCACACAACAATCACACGTACGTTTACTATTCTTTGTTCGCTCGCTTCGCGCACTTTTCCTAACACTCCTGTCGTTTTCTGCCAATCACTGCATGCATGCTTTATAACTGCGCACAGCACATCAGACAGGAGTTTTATTTCTTCATGGCTTCATGATGCTTGATGTTGATGTATTATAGAATTCGTTCCTTCCAACAATGCCTGAAGACGATTTCCAACATGTTAGCATGGGACTCGCAGAGAAGGTCACGTGGCATGGTACGTACCTCAGTTGGTGTAGATTAACAAGTGAAACTCTTATCTTAGTATTGATTTGTTTTACTTTTCTCTGCTAACAGTATGCCCAGAAGGCCATCGCTACTCTATCGGAGATGTAAGTTGGTAAAACGTTTAATATTGTTTAACTATAAACCTCATCGGTGCTACAAATCAATTATGAATATGAATTATGAATTTTATCCAATTCTTGCTCTTTTTAGTGCGGTAAAGCAAACCAGAAATCGGTCTGTCCTGAGTGTAAGTCAGATATTGGAGGGACAGGTTACAAACTGCTACAGGGAAATGCACCATTAACTGATCAAAAGTAAGTACATGACATACTGTCTTTACCGAAACGAGTATGCATTATTGGCCAGTCAAGTGCCGATACACATTAACATTCCTTGGGAAGGCTTTGCTGATTGGTAAACAAGCATGAACTTGTCTTTTTCTTGGGATCAAAAGCATGCCACAAGGAAAAAATTACATATTTTGAACTGAGACATTTTTTGTCATGGCATTATTATTAGCAATCCATTAAAATTCGATCCTTTAAAATAAGTAAAATCCATCTTTTTGCCATTCAGTAACAGTCATATTATTATGTTCTGCAAAGTTCCCATTAAAATTGGAATGCCAATAACCTTCTCATAAGCCATTCTCATTATTACCAGTCATGACACCACTTCTGCCAGAATCAGTCTTCGATCGAATTTTTTCCTTCGTGAATAACGAGATATGTTGTTGATTAGCCCAACAAAGAAACTGCCAAAAGGATTCTGGTATAAGTGGTATCTTGACTGGTAGGATTAATTTCGAACCATAATCCTTAGAGCCAGAACTGAGATCTTGGTTTTTGCTTTGCACAGCGCGGATCGATCGAATCGTGGCCATATTCTTGGTAATGTCAATATGGATCAACTTTTGGGTGCGGTGCAGCCTGGACGAAACCTCTCGCCTGCTGTCGTTCATCTTATTCGCCTGATTATGCATTCAGCAATGTTAGTAGGAGCCTGCCGACATCCTCAGGTAGGGTTATTGATCTCCTTGAGTGTCACTGTTTTGGTGGATGTCTGTAGCGGACATCTTCTTTCGTTCAGTGGGGACATCTAATTCAGTAATGGGTACACAACGCAAAACGCTCGTCGATTATATCAGCGATTTAATTCTCGATAATCTTGATGTTCTTCAGTTATTTCATTCACAATAGACAGATTTATAATTACGAGGTTCACTAGAAATAAAAAGTTACAAATTAAAAGCCTATATCTTACGGAAAATCAAATATAATCTTGACATACCATATGGTGTACGTATTACGATCGTCTTGCTGCCTGTCCCGGCTTACATCCCATAATTTCAACTTATGAATATTAATAACCTACGCTAATTAGGAAATCAAATAGTTGTCGTCTACAATGTCAATCCATGAATTCAATAAGTTAGTATCCTTGAGAACGTACTTTCCTACAGTGCCATCAAAACTTTGATTAATGTCCACGCCAAAATTCAATTTGTTTGAGACAACAAATTGTACGATTCCTCTCGTGCTAATGAGGAGCGCTCTAAGCCTACAGTGAAATCGTTCTGAAAAGAGCAAATTGGGAAATGCTTAACAGTATTTATCCAATCACAGAGCATAAAGGTTATTTTTAACCAATCAAAATACTTTTTCACCCAACTTTCCCGTTGGTCACAAAGTATATTTTAATATGGTAGTCTTGAGGTTTTCGTGTTCCATATAAATTATACAGCTGTATAGAGCTGTATACAGCGCAGACGAAACGTCAAAAATGTTTTCAACACATCGTGCTTAAAAGATACTTTTAAATATTTTAGTATATTTTAAAATATTATTACACGATTTTTTTTGTATTTTGTGACAGGAATCCTGTCAGATCTTCTCGCCTCCCGTAGAGCCTGAAAGACTGAACCAGTTTCTCTGGGCACATTTGACACGTGATTTGCGTGGCCTAGCAGCAGCCTTGAACCGTAATGAAGACGAGGCTTTGTTAACAGTGCACTTGGTGTTGGCCCAAATCACAAGAAGCACGTTACATGGTAAGCTTAGTCAGGGAATCCAATCGCCTCTCACCTCTGAGGTCTCGGGCTCGATTCCCGGACTTGGCATCACATGTGAGTAGAGTTTGTTAGGTCTATCCCTTGATTCCAAGGTTTTTCTATGGTTTCTCCGGATTTCCTCCTTCCACAAAACCTAATTCTAATTCGATCTGTGAGTTAACCGTGTCCTGACTTCAATCAGTGAGAAGTTGTTTCAGGGTATCGATAAATGAAATTTGAAGGTGTTAAACCGACACACCCGGCCATCAATACTTCTAATCAATGCCCTATTCTTCTCTCCATAGACTACGCATTTCACTTTGGAACCGGCGTTCTTGATTCATCTAGAGCTCGCAGGCAGTGGGAAGAGAAATTCACTTCAAGGTTCATACAACCTGTTCTCTCGGTAACTGAGCTATTTTTGGTGTGATCTCATTCTCGTACCCAAATCCTTCTCAGCTTTCTAACGAAAAATTGAAGGCTCTGGTAACACACAAATCGATCGTCGATTTGATTTGTTTAAAATAATTTTGTATAATCATCTGTTTCCCGTTCACTGATTTTACAGTAAATGACTGCAATGGCAAATAAACAAAAAATAAACAGTTTAAGAGCAAAGTTTATCAAGGCTTATTTTAATTCACGAGCAGATGTTTTTTCTGCTATTGATCATGAATTAAGCCGAGGGTCGAAATGGTTTTTCTTGAGCGCGCGCGCGCTCTAGGTCCGATGACGTAGAACTTGCATGTTCACTGTGATCTTTGGTTTATGAACTTTGGCTTTCCTGATTTACTTGCTGTTATATTATAGCCATACATTGATTTTTTTTAGTTCATAATTGTGAGTGTGTGTGGAGGCACACAACACTTTCCAGCCTCCTTAAAGCAAATTCAGGCTTTTTTACCTGTTACCAGAGCCTTTGACTTTTCGCTGAGAGGGGTCTGGGTACGAGAATGATGTGATCTTTAACTAGTCAACATAGGATCTTTGCAGTGTTACCTCGTTACATACCATATAATCGCTATTATAAGGTATTTTTCGTGTGTTATCTACGTTATAAACGCAAGATACCAGAGGTGGGCTTTTTTAACGGGGGGGAGGGAGAGGGCCAGAGGGCGGGCTTATAACTGGAAGGATATTGTGTTAGCAGACAAGTGGGCTTTTTAATTACTTCGATTTTAAGGTGACTCTTTTTGTCGAATTATTCAGACTCTTGATGGACGAATACAGGCCTGTTTTGACACCATGACGAATGACAGTCGTGTAGGCACTGATCCTCTCATGAGAGAGATCTATGAAGTGGACAACTCTGATACAGAGCAGGAAGAGGAGGAGGAAGAAGAACGGTTAAGCCCCATGAACAGATGCTTTTGGCGATACAGACCACCCATTACTGTAGAACATGCCAAGCAGAGATTCTCAGAAAAGATGAATTCTGATAAAAAGATTCAAAAGTGCAAAGTACTGCAGCATTTCTTCAAAGAGGTACACTCTACAAGTACAGTATCACCACCATGCCATCACCATCATCAACACCATCACCACCACCACCCAATCAGCATCATCATCAACAATCGACTAAGCAGTGCCACCGCCACTACCACTGAATATGATCATCAGCAAAACCATCATCGTTGTTACCATCATCATAATCCCCATTACATTCACATCAGCAACGTCTTTATCCTTAGTATCATTATTTATGTGTGTTCTCCACCACAATATTTAATGATCATTATTTTTCATTTTCCATCTAAGATACACCATGCATTAATTTCTTTAATACTTTAATTGTTAACCAGGAGTATCGTCTTCGTGTTGTTCGTTATCTCCCAAATATCAACAAGTTGCACAAGCTGCTAACAGATCGATTCTACCAACGAATCAACCAGAAACATGCATCAGAAATGACCGTCAAAGATTTTGAAATAAAATTGAAAGGTATTTAAAATGATAGAAGTAAATGTGTTAAAAGTAGATTTCATATGATAATTATGAAACCTTGTGGCACTGCCAAGGCTTTGTTGACATTTGTTGAACATCATTCAATCCAATCAGGATTCCTAGTCATGGGACAGTCATGGTCACTTCACGGCAAGTGCTGCCATAGATTTAAACAGTTATGAAAAAACATCTCCACTAAGTAGTGTCGTGTAAAGGTATCAAGTATCTGCAGCGACACCGCTGAACCATGCTCAGATCTTCAGAGAGGAAAAGGATCTTTGCTTATGCAAAAGCGATTGAAATTAAAAATGCAATTACAATTATTTAAACCAATTGTTTTTACAGCCTTGGAGAAGAAAGAATTTATGACACTTTTAGGTAGCTTTAAAGCTGCCTGGATGATGGTACGAGCGCGTCTGGACAAACAAGGTAATTAAGAATAGTGCTTCAGATTCAATTTTGCTATATTTTGGTATGATTAAGAGATAGAAGGAGTAAAGGAGGGAGATCAGAGAGTGAGAGAGAGGGTGGGAGGGAGAGTAAAAGGAGAAGGAGGAAGGGAGAGAAAGGGAGGTAAGGTATAAGCATTATTAGTATTATTGTTGTTATTATCATCATTTTATTTTTATTTTTTTCCCCTGTTCCCATGGTCTCTCATGTGTTCATCTTTAAGGTCGCTATAAGCTGTCAAGTACAGAGTGCAGCATGACAATTGATGACAACAGTCCCATGTCCATCCTCATTCCCTCTACGGATGGTCTGGGTCGATGTTCCCTCGCACTTGTGTTTTACCTTGTCACTGCCCATAATGAGTTCATGGAGACATATTTCAACATTACCGAGGGTAAAGCAAGGTACGTATTCATATATAGCAAATTCCATACAATATTGCGTGACAAATAAGAAGGAACATTGCTTAGTGTAACAGCATATCTTCTGTATTTCATACTTCTATTGTCATGTTTTAGACAAGATAACAAGATAAGACTATCAGAGGTGACGTTTTCCCAGCTTGTGTCGTACGATGCTGATCGTGATCTGCTTCCTCTCATACAAGCACATTGTCATTATTCGCTTGAAGTTGGTCAAGGTACGTTAGTCGAGTATGATTGGACAGCCATTCAAAGACAACTGATTGACAGGTTCATTCGAGGGAAACATTTGGTTGAGTTTGAGGTGAGCTTCATGAAACAAAAAATATGAAAGATCAAGAATTTTTTTCATTAATGAAAGAATAAATATATGTTATTTACCGGCCAGGAGGTCCCGACAGGGAAAAACTGTGCCCGAGGTCTTGAATATACGGACCGAGGCCGTTAGGCCGATATCCATCTTCAAGACCGAGGGCACAGTTTTTCCCTATCGGACTGACTATAGGACGGTAAATAACTTATTTATTTTTTCCCCTTATTTTTTTAACTTGTTTTTGTAATCGTTTTGTATTGTCGTTTAGCGGCAAAGGATACCGGACCGCGCGCGCGGGCAGATAAGTTGACAAAATACCGCCCGCTCAAACAGCCAATCAGAACCAATCAGAACGCCGGAAAAAAAATACTTTCATATTTTGATGTGATGATTTTATTTTTGTCTTCACAGGAACCGAAATTTGTTTTCCTCAGAAACAATGATGCGGATATGTTCACTGCCATAAGAAACAAGATAGAACAGGTAAGATGGTAGAGTGCAAACCATGCATATATTCCTGAAATAGCACAAAAACTAAATAGCACTAAACACATCTATTTCTTTTGTTCTAAATTGTTTCATTATTGGTGCTAGAATGAAGGCATTTAACCCGTTAAATAAAAAATACTAGTCAACGTGTAATAGTCAAATAGACACAAAAGAAAACAATGGAATTAGGGTCTACTAAAGTGTATTAGTCTAATATCTATTGCACGGGTTAAATGCCTTCGCGATCTATTTTAATTGCACTAATCAGTTAGTACTATTTCACGGATATATTTGCACGCCATAACACGAAAGACATAATTTCAACACAATGTTCCTTAATAGGGAATAAAATACATATTCATCCAGACAAGCAAGCCTCCATTCTGTTATTCTATATATATTCTATATATAGCCTACTATCATTGCAATTAAAAGAATATGCAACATATGTATGACTTCCCATAGGAAAACATTTCTTCCATATTGGCCAGAACTATCATGAGTGAATTACGCCACTTAAATGAAGTATGTGACGTCAAACACTCCCTTGAGATAGCTATGGGGTTTCTGGCATCAAGTGGTGGAAGTCCTAAACAGTTGATTAGTGAATATCTACATGATGTGTTGTGCATGCCCAGTGAAAAGGGTCTTAGTAGCCACAGGGTAAGATTTAGTGTAGCTATTAATATAGCTACTAAGATTGATTTCTGTCTTGTTTTGAAACTTGATGATGACAATTATGATGGCAGTGATGATGATTATGGTGGTGATGGCGATGATGATCATGGTGTTGATAGATGGTGGTGATGAGGATGGTGTTGGTGGTGATGACAATGATGATGATGATGATAGTGCAGGGGTTGATGATGGCGGTATTATGATGATGTTGATGATGATGATGATGATGGTGGTGAAGGTGATGATGATGGCGGTGATATGTTGATGATGGTGGTGGTGATGATGATCATGATGGTGGTGATGATAATGGTGATGATGATGATGGAGATGATAGTGATGACAATGAAAGTGATGATAGCAATGATGATGGTGACAATGATCATAGTGGTGGTGATGATGATGATGACAATGAAGATGATAGTAATGATAGTGATTATGATAATCCATTGGAAGAAGAGCTACTTTGTGGAACTGCAGTTATTTCCCATTATTTATTTTTTTTATTTTTGATGACTACGGTGATGATGTATATTACATTGATTTCTGGTTAACTTATCTATAACCTCTTTTCAGGCGGAACAATGTTGTCATTTGAAACACATCGTTCATCTTTGGCAGCTCGTTACAACCCAGAGAGCAAAGATTTTGCTACGAGACCATCAGGTATGACCTTGTGTATGACATTATATTATCGTTAGCGTTGCGCACATTTACCACTACTCATTACCTGTAATAAAAATTTGTTTTAAAGCTCAAAGGAAGAAACATTAATGCAGCTGTAGACCTCTTTACCTTAGTTATGCGTCTAATTTTTTCCCATTACACACGACATTCTCTTGAAAATAAGATTCCGTTCGAGTTGTATCCATATTCATGTGGTTTGAAATGGGCAAAACAATACGCCCAAGGTAAAGAGATCTGATGAGTTATGATAGTTTATATTATGTATGTTCTAGGATCCATTTGATGAGGTGCAAGAGTGCTTCAAGGAGGAAATACCAAGATCTGTACTGCTTAATCTGAATTTCTTCCTACGAAACATTGATTGTAGTAGGTTTTGCGGAGAACTCCTTGAGATGATAACATTCAGGCTAAACAAAGAAAATGAGGAACACTTTGACATCAGGTTCATAATAATAATAATGATGATGGCGATGATGATGACGATGACGATAACGAATGACGATGCGATGACGATGATGGAGATGATAACGATAACGATAACGATAACAATAAGGATAACGATGATAATGATAATGATAATGATACTAAAATGATAATGATAATGATAATGATACTAAAATGATAATGATAATGATACTAAAATGATAATGATAATGATAATGATAATAATACTAAAATGATAATGATACTAAAATGATAATGATAATGATAATGATTATAAAATGATAATGATAATGATAATGATACTAAAATGATAATGATAATGATAATGATAATGATACTAAAATGATAATGATAATGATAATGATA